CGAGGTGGAAGATAAAAAGGTGGCTCCCTCGATGATAACGCTGATCTGATTAAAAATTCTAAACCGATGGAGCGAAAGGTTAACGCTGGAGATGCGTCGATCAACGTCCTCGTTCCATGCGTTGCTCTCGAGGTTCGAGATTCGAGGACAAAAAGGGAGAAAGCAAGCGAGAGAGAAAGATTCACAGTGCGAGAATGTCGACCCACCATCTAACTTCGTAGAAATCCCTCGTAAGATCCAATTTGGATCCACACGATCAAAAGTGACCTGTTCATCGCAACGCGGCCGAGCCGACGCCCCGACGAAGCCGATCCGCTTCCGAGCACGAGCGAGATCGGGAAGCGATCAGGTCGCGGTGCGTGAGTACACGCTCGTTGGATCAGCCAGCTGCGATGAGCCACGTGAAGCGAAGTGGAGAAACGAGTATCGGATAATTCAAGGTTGTGTCCGCACGCGCGTTCCCTCGCGTTACAGCGCCGCTCGCTTTTAATTAGATAAAAAGTCCAAGCGGATTGGGCTTAACGGTTTTTTCGGCCCGGTCAAGTCCGCGCGGAAACGCGGGCGCTGGAATTCCGCCGCGGAGTGGCGGAAAACTCGGCGCTCGCCAGGACGAAGGTGAAGGCGACCCCGAGCGCGATTCTCCGACGCTTCCGACGTTTCCAGTTCAGAAACGGGCTTTCCTGCGGCGCGATGGAAGAAGGCTCTCGCGAGGCGTGGGACCATCGGGGGACTCTCGCGAGTCGGCCGCGAACGGGCCGCAGCGTGTCGCGGCCGATGACTCACGCGGGTGGTAGCCTTAATGAAATTCCACTTCCTCGTGCGACAAAGAAACGCGTGTCTCTCGCGCACCAAGTCGTGCCTTGTGCGCTAATTTCGAACCGGCTGGCGAAGGCGCTCGCGCGCTGACTGAACGCGCAAGCCGACGTTGACGTAATCCCTTCGGCAATTCCGAAGAATCGCGCGCCGACCGGCCGGCGATTACGTCTCCGACGCGCCAGTTCGCAGACGATCTTTTCAATCGCAGATAAGATAAGATAATCGAAGATAGAGGAATAAAGTGTTTTTTTTTTTTCTTTCTCCTTGCTGCATCTCATGATTTCGGCCGATTAATTCGTCCAAAAGGACCGTCGGAGTGGCGGCTCGCCGCTCCGTGAGATATACGCCAATTATGTAAATTAGTTCCCGATCGTAATATCGTCTACACGACGAGATAACAAGGTGAAATCGAATGTCGGTCGACAGAAATATTTAGAAATTTATCTGCGCGCTCTTTTCAGTCTCGATTCCACGCTCTCGATCCGCAGCTTCCTTCGTTCATTTTCGGCGGTTTAGAGAGAGAGAGAGAGAGAGAGAGAGAGAGAGAGAGAGAGCTTGTCGGGATTTAGCAGCGCTTCGGTAGCGTGAAAGTGTCCCGCCGTTCGGGGAAAGTCGTAGACGAAGAGTTAGTTGTACGTCTCGCACAACGAGGGAGACAGGCGTAAAAGGACAATTACGGTTTTGTACTCACCGAAAACATTGTTCCCCGACAGCCGCAGTCGTGCCACTCTGGTGGCCCTATCGACTGTCAACGGCCGCTTCGGTCGCTGACAAGACAAAGACATCGAGCCTTCCAGCCTTTATAACGTGGAGTCCGTGAAAAAGACCGACTTACGGTGACCGCGTAAGTTTCGCGTGAAAGATATTACGTGAAAAAATGCGGTAACTCCGGCCAGGAGTGCCAGGGGTCATTGTGTACTAAACCGTCCAAGGGTAGGTCGGGCCAGGATGAGATCCGGTGCGGGTGAACTAATCGAAGACGGTCACTCTCCGAACTCGGTCGCGAAGGAGATCGCACGAGGAGATTAGGAATTGGGTTGCGTCGAACGAACGACGCGGCGAGTGTGTTATATATTCCGTAATGAGGAAATTACGAAGGAAGCGAGACGGGAATTGGAGAGAAAGAAAGGGAGCAAAATGGCGGGCACACGGGGACGCGAACGCACGCCGCGAGGGCGCGTCGTTTGTGGGGAGCGGCGGAAGCGCAGGACGCAGGACTATATCAGTCAGGACGGATTGCGAGCTCGAGACGCAAATGCTTCGACGAGTATTCACTACAGACGGAGAACATCCAAGGCACGCGATCGATCGATCGATCGATCGATCCTCACCGCGGGGCCTTAGGCGTCATTTCGAATCCAGGGGGTGAGAAAGGAAAGCGGAGGGGGAGGAGAAGATGGCGAGGGGTGGAAGGACGACGGCACGCGCACGGTCACATTGTCTCTTCACGGATATCTCTCACCCTTCCGATTTTTCCGGGATCGGAAGAAAAGCACAACAGAGGGAGAGACAGAGGGGGAACACGGAGAGATAAAGAGAAAGAAAAAGGCGGTGGGAAAAGAAAAACGAGCGAATCTGCGGAACGGGAGTAGTCGGGAAAAGGCGGGCAGCTTGTACCACGCCGCTACGACGACTGGCTTGCAGAAGCAAACTCCCCATCTGCTGTGTTGCTTGCTGCCCCAACCAACTCCCTGCTGTCATTACGTGTGTCTGTGTACGTGCCTGTGTGTGTGTGTGTGTGTGTGTGTATGTGTGTGTGGCCTGCTGGTACACGCACACAGCCACGTACTTCGGCAAGCTGTGCCGCGTCGCGGCGGACAGGCAGTGCTCGAACCTCTCGAACGGAAAGGCCAGCCGGCCTCTCTATATGTATATCTAGCGAGGATCTCACCTTGCGAATTCCGCGATAAGGCGCGCGGCGGCACACTTTGTTATCTCGTGGACATTACACTGAAAGCAGAAGCGTATCACGTGCCGTGCGCGATAAGAGAAAGCGGTCGCTCGCGAGGCGCACCGGATCGCCGGAGAGCGTGATGATCAGCCGGCGCGTCCGGGACGCTCACCCCGAGCGAAGTTGTGAATCAGTGCTTGGGAATTAATAGGGATAACGGGAAATCGATAATTACATGGCGGCTGAGTTAATGGCGAAGCGTGTGCGCACGCACTCGTCCGGCGGAAAGGACGTCGTTGTTGCGGCCGTTTGAAGTTATCTCGCGGAAATGTTATTTCTCGACCGAGCGAGCGAGAGAGAGAGAGAGGGGGAGGCGGAATTAGAATTAATTATTCTCGATTGAAGATAATTTTCAGGGGACAAAGTGGACGGAGAATTGAATAATTCTTACGATCAAGAGGGCTTCCATGAACACCGCGAGCGAGGCCGACAGCGCGCGGCGTGTCGGGGTTAATTAAAAATTTACCCCTCGAGGCATGTATACGTATCGGGCGGCGTTGCGAAGCGTCCGCCGCGCGAATTACGCGTCGTCTCTGCGCCGTCTGCGACAGTAAAAATAACGAACACGCATTTCTCAGGCGCTAAAAACGCGAGTGTGCGACCCTTACGCACACACGATGGCCCGCGCAAGGAGCGCGCACGCAACGCATACGTACACACACACACACACACACGCACACTCACTCACGCGGGCACCGTCGTTACATGTGCGCGTGTATATATACGTGTGTCGCAGCTGCAGCTGCTCGCGGGAGCGGAACACACGGCTTTTGGGGATGGCGATGCATGCCGTAGCAACGGTTGCGCACCACCTGGCCCGACGACGAAGCCAGCGTCGTCGGGCCACGGCATTGGCGTAGACCCTCCTCTCGTCCGCCAAAGAACGAGCCTGCAAAAAGGACGAGGAGGGGAGGACACAAAAGGACCCCGGCTTTTGGAATTCCGCTACCCTCCCCGCTTATCCGGAGGACCGATCGATCCCGAGATCCTGAGAAGTCCTATCTGTGCGTCGCTACCCTCGTCGTGCGTGCGTGCGTGCGTGCGTGTGCGTGCACGAACTCATGCATACATTTGCCAATAGCGAAAGGAGGAACCGCAACGACCTATATTTTTCGGGAAAGAACGAGCACTCTCTTTCTCTCTCTCTCTCTCTCTCCCTCCCTCTCTCCCTCTCATTCATCTCTCCCGTCTCCAAGAGACGGATGATCATCACGGGGAAAAGCTGGGCGTAATCGCGCACCGCGCCAGCGCGATTCATGGCTCGGCGATTTTCACGGAACATTAGCATACTCGATCGCGCTCGCTCGCTGCCAGCGCGCCGCGAGCGAGTTGCCGCTCGATTAGGGGTGGCTCGAGTGCCGTGACGGATCCGCGGCGGTTGTAATCACTCTCGCGGTAACGCCGCGTCGTAATCGCCCTGCTCTCTGGCGTCTCGTAAGAACAAGCGCGATCAGCGAGAGAGCGCGAGAAGAGAAGAAAAGCCGAGGTATTTATTATCGATACACGATCGCGCGAGAGAGACGACGGTCGATCGCGGAGGGAAGAATTGGCGAGGGTGAGCTTGAAATCGCGGCACGACGCGACGCGACGCGGCGGGTTAAACGGTTGCTATGTCGCCTCCCTTCCTCTCCCTCCCCCTCATTTCCTCTCTCCCTCTCTCTCTCTCTCTCTCCCTCTTCCCTCCCTCGTCCTCCATTTTTTGCACAGGATCCCCACAAGAGCGAGGGTGGTCCTGCGGCGCAGGACTCCCCCACTATCCCGGCTGTTGCCACCATATACGCCCATGGGGTTTGCGCGTTGATATCGCAATAGAAGCTCTATCGATCCCGTTCCCCGACACAGCGGACCGGCTGTTGTCAGGGGGTTGATAGCGATATGCGAGCTCTTACGCACGCATACAGGCGCTACACGCGCGACTGGCGGCGGGAGCTCCGAAAGCGAGACGGGTCCGTCCCTCCTCTCTCTCTCTCTCTCTCTCTCTCTCTCTCTCTCTTCCTCTCTCAGGACTCGTCGCTGAGCACGGTTTAATCCTCGAGCGAGTCTCACAAATTCGCCCGGAAATCACGCGAGCGAGGAGAATACAATTTGAAGAGGAGCGCGTTGTGAGTATCGCGTTACTGAGTTCGCGTCCTCGTAAGGATGACGACGATGACGACGACGACGACGACGAGGACGACGAGGACGTCGAGTCGACCCGAGCGCAGGGTGTACTTTAATCGTGTAATGCTCTTACGATGATAAGTTTCACGGTCCATCTGTCCCTAACATCCTGAAGGGAAGCCACCGGTTGCACCATCGGCTTCTTCCCCTCGCGCACGCAGCAGGCGACTGGGCGACCGATCCCGCGTTTCCTTCCCTCCTTTCCGCTCCTGTTTCCTTCCGACTCTCCCCCTTGCGCGGCAAAATTATATCTCGCTAAAGTCCGTGAGAATTCACATGCAAATTCCCACGGGCGGGGGGAAGGACGGTGTGGTCCTCGTGTTGCCATTAACGTATCCGAAAGCCGTCGCACACTTGGCTTTTCTGCGACAAGTTCCTTCGATATTCCTGAAGGCAGTTCTCGGGGCTGCCTTCGAGACGGGCGAATTACGCCAATTGCCGGGCCGCGCGGGAAAAGAGATAATTGGACGACGACGACGACGACGACGATGACGGGGATGGGCAGAGAGGGCCGAGACAGAGAGAGAGAGAGGATTAAGACACGACGATCTAACTCGACGATGTCTCCACTTGTGTTTCGGTCATCCTCGCCGGCGTCGCCGGTGTTTTCTCTCAGTTTACAAGCGGAGGTCGCCAACGACGTCGTGACTCTCGACCGTGACAGATGAAGCGGAAAGCCCGCGCCGTTCTCTTTCCGTCGCAACGATTGGTCTTTTTGTGCGCGCGCGCTGCTGAGCGATGATACCTCAGCAGGCTCAGGAGGTGCGCCCGATTCGATTAGAAACGTGAGGGACGCGCGCGGCTCTGGCCCGCCCCGGCCCGCTTCGCTTCGCTTGGCCTCACCTGGTCTCGCGGAGACTGCGACTCGAATATTACGAGAACGACCGCGTGCCGTTTCCCGACGCTCGGCCGCTGCCGGCTATTACGGCTAGATATCGAGGTTATCGACGGATCGTTAAGGTGAAATCCCGGCTAATCGCGAGTTTGTACGTACGTACGTTCCGCGCGGAGAAAATCGGCGATTTTCTCCGCGCGGAATTGAGACAATGTCTGGAAGGCAGGCAGGCAGGCAGGCAGGCGTAGCGCGTGGGAGAGGCTCGTTAAGGTGCGATCATCAGCATCGCCCCGGGACGCTGTACGTTAAATTAGACGCAAATTACCGTGCACGGCGATCCGCGACGGCAGAAGTTTCGACGGGCGGCGGAGCGCGGCTGCTCTCTTTCTCTCTTTCTCTTACTCTCTAGCTCCGCTTCCATGCTACGATGATTATTGTTTTATATCGTCGCCGATTGTTTCCGCGCGCGCGAAGCTCGTCGATCTGGGCAGGGAAGAAGCGGAAGATGCGCGCTCCGTGTTCCGTGCGAATCTCACCTGTGATTAATCAGTTCGCTGCTATGCAATGCGTCATTACCGCAGCTTTCCCCGTTAAGCAGTTATCTCGAGGAAAGTTTCGTTTGAAAATCGTCTTACCCGTCGTTGCCCGAGTAGCAGTTTGTAGATACCGCAAGTTTTTCCTCCGTTTATTACTTCCTCAAATATTCAACGCGGACGCTACGACGAATTGCGTGATGTGACGCAACGGATCAGATACTGAAGATTGAGAATCGCGGAAGATTGAAGACTAGATCTCGACTAGAGAGAGAGGCGAGAAGAAGCAACTATCGAAATTAATTGACTCTCGTCACATTGCAATCCCCTGAATTCGCGCGATAATCGATCGTCGATATTCTAATCTGACTGGAGTATCGCGTCTTTTTCAGCGACAAAGCTGCGCGCGTTGAAGCCGAGCGTGAATCCCGGGAATCCCGTGCTAATTGAGACGCGTTCTTAAGTCTCGCCGCCGCCGCCGCCGCCGCCGCGCCGTCACGTCACGATGATCTCATGCTCGGCGGGCGGGCGGGCGGCGAATCGGATAAACGGCCGCGGACGAAAACCGCAGCGGGCGGATTTAACACTGCGGGCGAACGACGTGCGATCATTCCGCGCGCATCGTTTATCGTCCGCCTTGCGAAATTTTCGGCGGCACGGCGGCCACCGCTGCGTAGCAAACAGCACGTCGGAAATTCTCGGATCGCCGCGCCGCGCCGCGGCGCTCGTAAATCACGGCCCGGGTAAAGCGACTAAAAGTCGCGGGAGTTTACGCACGCGTGCCGATAAACGCCGGTCGTTTCCATCGTCGACGGCACCGCGGCGGCGGTTTACACGCCGGTGGTTTGGTTTATCGCGTAAAACCGGGCTCTCTCTCTCTCTCTCTCTCTCTCTCTCTCTCTCTCTCTCTCTCTCTCTCTCTCTCTCTCCCTCTCTCTCTCTCTCTCTCGCTCGCCCTCCTTTCGGCGGGCAAATCGCGCGTCTACGCACGCGGGCTTTCGCGGAAGCGAGAAATTAATCGCTCGCTCAGCGGCGACGGGGTGGAGTATCGCGCGATCAAACCGATCGCCAAGATATCGTAAAATCCGCGCGCCAAAGTGCCGCTCGCAAGTAATTTCGCCGTTTGCCGCATCCCAACAATTCGCCATTACGCTCTCTCTCTCTCTCTCTCTCTCTCTCTCTCTCGTTCGCAATGCGTTAATCGGCGATTGTGGCGTGTTTGATGGAAGCGTCGCGCCGAAACGCGCTGCGGACAAACGGACGTGCGCGCGCGTTCGCGAGTCTCTCGACAAGCCGCTGGGCATAATTAGCAGCAATTAAATGTGAGAAATTCACCGTGAGCGTGAGCCGCGCGCCGCCAATTGAATTCAATCGCGGCGGCGGGCGGGAGGTCAGCCGCGAACTTCCTGCGATTAGGTCGATGTCGTCGTCGTCGTCGTCGTCGTCGTCGTCGACAACGTCGTTGACACCACGCCGTAGGCGCGTGGGTGGCGCGCCGGATGAGAGAGGCACTGATCGCACGACAGTCACGTAGTCCGGGATGAACTCTGACACGCGGCAATTAAATCATCTCGTCGTTCATTCAGTCATTGACTCGCCGAGTCGTTGTTAGGCGCCACGCGGCGAATTGCGCGTGGGCCGCGCGCGATTCGGACTTTTCTCCGCGGCCGACCGGGGCCGCCCTTTTTCCTTTCCATCATTTTTCCAACGACGACCCACCGGCGTTACACTCGTGGGCGGTGTAAGCTTGCCCGCTGTCGCAATCAGCGGCAGAAATTGCGAGGATCAGCCGACTTCCGGCGATTAGAGGCGGAGGGCAAGTGCACGCGGCGAAAGTTAACGACGACTCGGCGCGCTCGAAGGGGACGCGCGCGCTATTATGCGCGTTCCAGAAAGTATGCCATACGTATGCTAATAATTGAGCAACGGACTCGGGAACGGGATGGCCAGCGGCGTTCTCCTCGCGGATCGATCGCCATTCTCAATTGATTTGTTCGTCCGAACAGGAGATTCGGGGAAAGTCTCGAGTCGCTCAGTCGGCAAAACAGTCGCGCTTAAATTATGGAATTACGATTTGCGAGTAAGCAGACGCCGTAAAACGTAAAAAGTAAAAAGTAGGAGCGTCAAATAATGCAGACGAGAAGCAGCAACAGCACGGATCGGAGGGGGAGGATAGGATATTAATTGAGGAGAAAAATAAAGAGAGCGAAATGGTATGAGGAAAAAGGCGCGGCGGAGAGCTCTTTCGAATGAAACATAACAGAATTTACAAACAGCAATTGAGTCGCGTAATTGGATCAGAGCAGCAGCATGAAACCAAACTCCAACGAGGAGCACTCGGCGATTGTCGCGGCGATGGCCGCCAACCCCCGCAGTTGGGTTCTCGAGATGGCACGAAGGGGCGACGTCGACAAATGTCTCGCAACATTTGTTCCATTAAAGTCTAGAGGCGGTTTTCGGCTCCCTGGAGTAATATACGTATACCGCGAGTGAAGAGCTCCAGGGGACTTTTCTCTCTCTCTCTCTCTCTCTCTCTCTCTCTCTGTCCCTCGAAAAAGTCAGTCTGGGGGCGAGGGCCGAGTGTCCTGAGTGTATAACTCGATAACGAACCACCACCCCGCGATCGGCGGAATGAATGAATCATCATCGAGCGCGCGCGCGCGAGCGACTTCAAAGTATACAATAAAAGAAAATAGAAACAAAGTGAAATAAATACCGACGCGATAAAAACGTTCGAAGCGCAGTCGGTATCTCGCGCGCCGCGGCCGGAGAGATTTCTTTCGCGGCTACAGAGATTTCCGAGAATAAATCTATCTCGATCTTGCTTCATTTATGTTTCGTCTCGATACTCCAGAGCTCGAATCGAAACATCAGCGCATGAACGCTTCCATTTTTAACGTCCCTCCTTTCGTGCTGATGCTACTTTCGCGCTACTGCCGCTTTCAAACTTTTCGATTACGTTGTTTCATGATGAATTGACGAAATATCGAGGATACGTCAAGAGGAGCAACGGACTCGACGGAAGCTCTCGTCTCGTCTCCTCTCCTCTCCTCTCCTCTCCTCTCTCTCGCTCTCTTTGGCTGAGTGAAAAGCTACGTAAATCAAAGGAAGCCCGCTAGACAAATGTTCTCGAATTGAGAAATGGCTTCGCTCGCGCGCGCGCGCCGAAGCCGGTGTCTCACCGTTTGCTCCATTAAAGGCACGGCGAATGCACTTGGATGCAGTAGAGCACCCATGGAGAAAAAATGAAGCCTTGAAAAAGCAGCCTCGATAAATCTCGACGAGGGGAGACTGCCGCCCGTCTAGTGTTGAATATCACGCGAAGGAATACGCGCGTCGTTAGGAGGTCTCGCTGCGTAGTTAGGGGATTTATGCATAGAATACGCGTGAAGATCGCAGCCGACAAGCAGCCGACTTCCTTCTTTTTCCAGCTCGGGCGACTCGGGCCCGCCGGTTGTTCGTTTCGTCGGTGATTGAAGGCGTAACATTAATTTCGCCTTTAATATTTCTATTTGCTCTATTGAACTAACACTTGTATTAAATCAATATACACACATATCGGCGCAAATTGGTAATACTGCCAGTGGTGGCAGTAATAATATTTTCATCGGTATTTATTTAACATTCATTTCCCGGGGCGAGGGATGCTTGCCTGCTGCAAAAACTCGCGGGAAAATAGCGCGCGCCGCGAGATAAATCGTTCGCAGCGCGAAAAACGAATGACTGGCGGAAAAGCGAGCGGATTTATACGGGGGGGGGGGGGGGGGAGGATCGAGCGGTGACTTCGCGATTCAAATGGATGCAAATCGGGCGTGTATTTCTCCCTCCCTCTCTGCCTCTTGCCCCTCCTCGGCCCTCCTCGAATTACGAAAAGCGCGAGATATATATTTCTCGTCGATGGCAATTTATAAAAGTCCGCGATCCGGCGCGTCTCGCTCTCTCGAGTATCCGTTACACAGGCAGCGGCCGCTAACGCTTAGCAAATGAGCTGCTCGAAAGCCCTCCGTGAAAGCTCTTCTCTCGCTCGTACTCTGGACCGCGTCTTCTGGAAGCACTTGCCCCGACGACAGATGTTCGGCAGTCACTCCGCTTTTTCAGCTCGCTCGCGGCCGGCTAATTCGATGTTAGAGTCTTGTGCGCGGCGGAATGTCCGTCCGCGGGCAAACGTAGCCGAGAGCGAGGGAGAAAAATCGGCCTTTAAATTCCACTCAAATTTCGCAATCGACCCGAGCACGCAGGAGAGAGAGAGGGAGGGAGAGGGAGAGAGAGAGAGAGAGAGAGAGAAAGAGAGAGAGAGAGGGGGAAGGAGACCAAGGAGAGAGACCGGGCGAGAGAAGAGCAAAGGAGTTGATAACGCGCGAGTCTGAATAATCGCAACGGCGCGAACGCTCTCGAACGTGTTCCAGACGCTCGTTAAAAATGAAGTGTCCGAAAATATTTAGAAAATGCTTCCAGGCAATCGTAAGAGCGCGAGCTCACGGTCGCGTTACGCAGCCGCGACTTGGGCCGTCGCTTCGCGCGTCACGGCAGGCTGGCCCCGGCCGCTTTTGCGAATTTCCACGCAGCCGAGCACGTGGCGATAGGCGCGCGAGTTTGCTTATGAAGCCGCGCCATTAAGTCCACGGTGTGGCTGCTTCCGGTGCGTGTGTACAGACAGCAGGTATACGCGACGCACGTGCTAAGTGCGTGCGTGCGTGCGTGCGCGCGCGCGTGGGGTGTTCACGCACCTTGCTTCCGCGAGTTCCACTTTCGCGTCCGTATCGCGGGAGATACGATCCCTTTGCGCGAGGGAGAACGCGAGGGAGGCGCGCAGGCGAGGCGGCGGACGCGACTCGGATATCCCGGCGTGGAAGTGAGAGGGAAGAATTTCGCGAAATAAAGGCGGAAAGAAGCGGAAACATCTCGGCGCCTGACCGCGAAGACAAGCGATCGCGGAGGCGAACGGAACTTCTCAGGTGTGCTCCGGTGAGGAACGATTTCCGCCCTCAGGCGAAATAGGCTCGCTTCCGCTCACTCGCGCGCGCGCGCGTGCGCGCGGTATGTGTCGGCGGCGGAAGTTGCGGACGACATCGGGTCTGTCGAAAAATCGGCTCGCCGACTGTCCCTCGGAAATCGATCGGACGGAGAACGGAAAATGCGTCAAGTACGCGCGTGTACGCGGAAACGCCGTCGAAAGAATGTGAAAGAACGGGGAGAACGATTCCTCTGTCGGTCAGTAATTGAATTTTCCGCTGTCTCGGAAGAATAGAGACAGAATGGAGATACGCTGGCAGCCGGAAAGACGCAGAAAGGAGGCTTCTGATCGGTCAATTGCTTTCCCGGACGAAAGCTTTCGACAACGAGAAACGACGTTACCTTCGTCGTCGCGACAGATATTTGTCTGAGTTTTCGCGACTGCATTTTGGGACTCGGTTGGGGTAATTTAAAAACCCCCAACCGAGCAGGAATCTCCTACGAGGCTCTCATCCAGACGTCGCAGTCTGTCTTCGCCTAATCCCTAGATAATACGGAAAATCACCGTTACACGAGCCGAGTTTCTTTTCTTCTTCTTTTCTCTGTGCAGAAAGAAAAACCTTTCGACAGGACGAGCGAGCTCGTGAAGACGCCGGCAATCGGGTGTCCCTTGTCGAATTGGCGTCGTTCGCCGTGGAAGTCCGTTATATTTCCGACCGACTCGTTTGAGCGGAAATCCTGTCGAGACAACGGGCGATAAGGATGTTGAGAAAAGACGCAACCTCGACGTGCCTCGTCTCTCTCGCTCGTGGGCGTTATCGTTCGGCTAGGACGGCTAGGTAGATAGGAAGGTACGCAGGCAGGCAGGCAGGCAGGCAGGCAGGCAGGCAGGCAGGCAGGCAGATAGACAGACAGACAG